AGAAAAGGTCCTCACCTGCAAAGAAATTGTACATTTATTACTGCTGATAAGAAGTGTGAAAAACATGTTAAATATAGCAATAGGCATATAATCTTTTCTATAAATTGGCTGCACATACTGGGGGGGGGGCACACTTGTATAGCAACTTTATGGGGGAGGGGGGTACAGCCACTCCAAGATATGAGAAACTTTCACTACCTATTTTACTGAAAATTATTATGGACTTGAACTGCCATTTACCAAAATCCGGTGTCAGTTGAACTACTATTACGGCCATGTAATCTACCAAATTTAACTTGTACTGGTTCCCGATGGCGAATAAGACCAGGGTTCTGTCTGTTAGCGATCTCTACTTTTCGTGGTTATGTATCAACGGTGGGTTTAGGACGTGGGTTAGCAAAAAATCTTCCCTAAAATAGTGTGAAAAATTATGCTACTTTGATACGAGACAGAGCAGGACTTTAACTACCAATTTTACCTTAGTATTGCCCACACTTGTGCTACCAAGTCCTCACAAACAGTGGCGGCTCTAGGATATATTTTCTGGGGGGGCTAAGTTGTCTGACAGGGGGACTTGAGCTCATAGGCTGGAGCTGGGGGAAGGGGTTTTGAGAAGGATCCCCTCCCAAATGAGATTTTTTTTAAAGAATATCAACCTCTGGATGGCCGAAAATACTATATTCCCAGATGCTCATCAATTCATCATATTCTATAATTGAAATTGAGACAAAGGAAGGTTCTTTCTTGCTTCAAAAATGAGACTAGAAATTATCATGCAGCAGCAATTAACTCACCAATTACAGGATGGAATGGTGCTTTTGTATTTTATGAAGGCTATGTTTTTTTAATTTATTTAAACATCTTTTGCTTATTGATTCATTTTCTATTTTGTAATTAAAAAAAAAATTCTTTCTTGTCTCAGAAATACATGGCTTTGATTTGGTTAAAAAAAAAAGTGTAAATATCATCTTCTTTTAATAATAGTGACCAGCATAATACGAGAAGATGAAAAGAAAGTGATCAATAGAAATGAAGGGCAGGAGAAAAGGAGAAAAGGCAGATGAAAAAGGAGTGGAGAATAGAACACAAGAGAAGGTATGAAAAAGAGAGGGGAAAAGAGAAGGATCAAAAGAATCGGTAGAACACAAATCCAAAAAATAACCCAGCAAGGTAGTCCAAAAGACTTATTTCCATTGGGGTCTTGTTTGTTGAATTGAGATAATGAGAGCGATAGTACAAAAAAAAAAACCACTGGATTGTTATTCAGATATGACAATGAAAAGGAGTGCTGACTGTAATATTATGTATTCAATTATAATAACAATTGACTATTGAATAGTTCTCGGTCTCTCTTTCACAAAGTCATGGTTGATTGATAGAAGAAACAGCTTACACTAAATCACATGACTAAAGATACAGTAAACCCTTGAAAAACACCCATTTCCTGATTGGAGACACTTCACATATGCACCTCACTGAAAAACCAACCGAAGAATTTTAAGGTAATTATTTCATTAATTTAAGTTATTTAGTATTACAGTAGATCCAATGCTTAACATATTAATGATTCAGAAAAAATTGAAAATACTGAATCAAAATATTATTTACCTGAGCAAAATATCATTGAGGAAAGTCAGAGCATTATACAGTTTATTCATAATGTATGTAGGCCTACTACAGACCAATAAACCAAATAATGATTAAAAGATTTTATATATTTATTATAGATACATGCAGTAAATATTAATAAGAAAGGATTGTCTTATGAAAAATAAAGACAGATACTAGTAATAATGAGGGCCCTCACCTGCAAAGATATTATACATTTATTAGTTGCTAAAGAGAAGTGTGCCAGACAAATATGGTAAAGTAATAGGCATATAATCTATTCTATCAATTAGCTGCACATGTACTATACAGAGAAAAAATGGATACTCATGGTGTTTTATCACTTTAGATATTTCCTATATTTATATTAAAGATTGCTTACCATAATGATTGCTACTTTTAAGCCCAGCAAACACAAGACCAGTTTATCAAATTGCCTTTTGTGTGGGTTTGCTAAGCAAATTGCCTCTCATGACAGTTTACACAAAGTGTGTGTATATTTTTCAGTAAGAATTCTGCCTCAAGAGACAACAAGCACCAAACTTGTTAGTCTCACAAGGCAGATGCTCACTGTGCGTACATGTTAAACAGCTCGATCATAGATTACAAATGAATTGACCAATAAATTAGCTCCACTCTCATAGCCTAATAAATACAATTTTTATCTGCACAGCAACAAGGATAATTTTAGCTAGAATTTGTGTAAGGAAATCTAAAATATAATGTGTGAAAAGTTTACAACTGGAGGGCATATCAGACAATACATAATATATCAAAGATCTGCAAAAACAGCTCATATAGTATATGAAAAATGCAATCATGATGTTTATTCTAAAAAAGTTTAATACTTTGTAGTATGTCAACACCTGGCACATATATATTGGTTAAGGAATCATTATTTGTATATTTAGTACCTTTTAAATAAAAGCTTAATGAACTAAAATTAATTAATAATTACTTATTCATGATTATTTATCCATTCCAAATTATTTAATAATTACTTTAATTATTTAAAATTCACAGGATTTTATATCAAGATGGCTACCAGTAAGTTGAATCATGTTTTTAAATGTGCTTAGAGACTTCAAAATCCAAAATCCCTCAACTTCCTCCATCTATTTGGCATGTCTAGAAGACTGGGTTTAAGACTATAAAAAAGATGACTTGCATTTCAGGAGAAATTAAAATTATTGTCATTGTCACTTAGAAGATATAAATTTTTGTTTTTGGTTGGTGGGCTATCCTATATTTAGACTGTATCAAATTGTCCTTTAACATAATAATTCTAGGCAACTGACATCCACTAGTTTAGGATAAGCTTTCAATACCATTAGTTAATTTTGCAGTTTTAGAGATCATCTTCAATTTAAATCTATGTTTGTGTTAGCTTTTTTTTTCCTCATGATTAATTTAAATTATATTTTAGTTGGCCCTACCTATTTTTCTAATTTCTGTTTAATGTTTATTTATTTGATCAAATAAATAATGAAATGAAGG